TAATATGTAGTAATTCTAGAAAAAAAAAGCATAATTTATAATTATTTCATATTTTTTATAGTGGTTATGAGATTGGTCAAGTCGACCAAACCTGTACAGATATTCGTTAGTGAAAATAACAGATAAAATATAAAGTTTTTTTCTTAAGAAACATTTGATAACTATCTGAACATTATATGGATTTCTCATGTGAAATTTGAAAATTTCCTGATGCATAAAAGTATTTTTTATCTTAAAATGAAAATTACTTTGCATGATGGATAGAGAACATGCAAAAAGAAAAAGCATGAGGAAATCATTGCTTTAGAAAAAAAATCAAAATTAAATATTTTATTATTTTTCAAAAACTACATACTTATAGGACCTTTCATCTAAATTTTATAAGAATTTCATCCACTAGTTTAATTTTTGTAAAGAACTTTCATGAGAGTTGCATACCTACTTACAATGTATGTAGGTTGTAATCAAACAGTTACAGTAGTTTGATTGAGTAGAAGATGTTCTAAGCTATCTACGCCAGTGTTAACAAAGTAGTTTCAGCAGTAAATTATGGTTTAACTTGCTGGTTACCTGGGCCTCCTATGGTGGCCCACAAAGGATTCTGTTACAAAGTTAACACTTAAGGAAAAGTCTACAGATCCTGATGAAATTTTTATTGATTCTTTTAATATTCCTTTGATTCCTGAAAATGGTTTTGTGTTAAATTACGTGTTTGAAAGCTAATGGAATTTTCTTCTATTACAAGACATCAGGTAAGTTCAGTTAGGTTTAACAAGTATTGCGAGTAATGGTAAACTATTCAGACGACTCAGATCCTTTTTTTAAGTTTATTGTATTCAACTAACATACACAAGTAAAACAAATATTGTTAACTGAAAACCTGAATGTAGAGTAATTTATGTTCTGACCAAGAATATTGTTAGCAAAAATCATGATATCTAGATTAATAAACTTAACTATGATACCATTTTCAAAGGGAATGCCCTAGATCACTGGTACATCTTTGACAGTTTTTGCTGCATTTTTATCGTTTATTGCTTCAATAGACAAAATATAGTATTAAACAAAATGTTGATGAATATCAAACAAGTTAAAACTGACTGGATATATAAGGTGGGAGTTTTTTAATCAGTATAGAACAAATTAAATTATAAAATGATGGAAAGTATTTTTAATTTTTTTTTCAATGGAGTCAAAACAAAGCAGTTTCTTTCTTTTTTATTTAATCATATCTTTACAGTGCAAATAAATACCCATTCTTTAGTATACTATTAAAATCCAGAAACAGTTCTTAAGAGCAAAAATCTACACAAAACTACTTTTAATATAGTGTGTTGATTAAGGAAATGGTAGCTATTGCCCTCAATGTTGGTAGTATATTTACATAAATATATTATTTTGAAGTGCATCTTCTATATGTATTGTACCAAAACTTTATGAAAGTTACTTTCAAATATACATTTCATATTATAGAAAAATCCAGGCTTCATAAAGAAACATGTCTCGATATTAGAAACAATTTAGAAACTTGTCACGTGCTAAGAATCTTGACATTATGGTAAATATGTTTTAATTGTAGAGTTTATTTATAATTGATTAAAAGTTAAGAATCAACACCAGACCAAAAAAATTTGTGGACTTTAAGAAACTTTGGCTCCAATATATTGTATTTTATTTGGACACTTTCATCATTTTGAAAGAATATTTGTTAAACATCCAACAGTTAGGAATAGATATTAGAGTCTGGAAAATTTACTAAAATTACTAAGTTTTATAGAAACTTTGTTCATACTTCAGCTGTTTTCGCTATGTATCGTGGTGAATCAAGAGTTTAATCTTTCTATGGTTATTGAATGTTATGTGGATATTATTTATTTCAGAAAAATATTATTAATAGCTTTTAAAATTAAGTTCTCAGAATAACAGAACAACAGTCACTATTGCAAGTCATAGTGGGGGCCTGCCACCATAAACTTTGAATTTTGTTTTATGTATAAATACTAAGTTCTACTTCTGAATAATGCTTTGAAGAAAACAATGATTGAAAATAATTTTTTAAATTTACATTCATTGTCAATTGCATTAATTTTATGCTTAATGCAGGTCAAATCTCAGACTTTTGGAGAAGCCATATCAGAACCTGGTCTTACTTTTGTAGCAGCCAAATTTGATGGAATCTTTGGCTTAGGTTTCCCATCCATTGCTATAGATGGTGTCACTCCTGTATTTCATAATATGGTTCAACAAAAACTTGTGGAAAATCCTGTTTTTTCTTTCTATCTTAATAGGTATGTTTGTTGTAATGAACTACTAGTTAAGTAGCACACTACATTAGATGATAAGTCAGTGTTATGACTACCAACATTCTAACAGGTAAATGTTTGTACTTGTGTATTTTAACTTTTTTTTTGGTTAAAAGTATCATCATTTCTACTACCATTCTTAAAGACTGTTAGATGGAGTGGGGGGGGGGGATTTGGTCACAGGATGAATGCCAGTTTTAGGTTATTTTAGAGTTCAGTTGTTTTAATAGTTTTTCACTAACATGATGTAAAAAAATATATTTTTTGTAAACTTTGGACTTTAAATAAATTTTACAAGTTTGCTTGGTAAATATAAACAGTTTTCCTACTGTAGGGACTTGCCAAAATCATAGAAAGTATAGATCAGTGTTTCTTATCTGGATTTGCCAGACGGCTCCCATGTCCGGGATTTGATTTTCACCCTCCCCCTCCCATTATCTCTACAAGATGAACAGTTTCTTGGTGCAGTTCATCAGAGTTCATAAAAAAAGGTAATATGTGCACCTTTCAGACACTTTGAGGACTAATAAAACATATTTTGACTCAGTGCAGACACTCATGATCCCATCCCCCTTGGAAACTTGCTCGCAACCCACCATTTAAGAAACACTGATACAGATTAATTCATGGTAGACTCTTAAGTTAAAATGTTATGTTTAACATTTAAGTTTTCATAATAATTCTGATTTATTAATGAAATGAACATCTCATCCAGTATGTAATTATGATCTTAGGATTATCAATAAGTATTTAATATAAAAGGTATGAACAAAAACATAAGACTAATCTCTACTTGTGTTTTCTATAACCAGTTATAGTCTCATTATTTTAACCTTTATAACTCCTGTTTTAAACAGGAAAATTTTGATGTCAGCAGATTAATTTGCCTACTATCTACAGTGTAGTTTTATGACAGTCATAATAAGTGGAAAGGGATTTCGTTAAGTTAATTTCTTCAGCTCATCAAGCTAAATTGTAAACCCAATAATATAGTTAAGTTTCACAATATTTCATAATGTGGACATGTATAGTACTTCAGGAATGTAGGTCAAAAATATCTGGAAGCAGATGGTTCTCTAAGAAACATTTTGGCTTGATCTTGGTTTTTCAGAATTTCTCAGTATGTACGTAAGTAATGCATTAATATTTTCTACTTGCCAGACTGAATTAAAGCATCATTAGCTTTGATGAAGGATATCAGAAATTTACTTCATTGTAACTCCAAGAATGGACAAACATTTTTAGCTATGCACAGTGAAGTTGTAGTGCCCCAATAAATGAATGGATATTTTAAACTATTCACAGAACACTCCCTGTACAGTCGATTAGTGTGACTAAACTCAACCAAATAAGGGAAATCCATTGCTTAGTCAGAAACTAGTTAATAAAAAGTGTAATTTTGGAAACGGTGTTTCTGCTGGAAAAATTAATTGGTTATTTTAATGTTACTTAATCTTTATATATCTAATTTAATGCATGATATTTGTAGTCAATAGAGAACATTACAAAAACTTTGCTAAACATTTTAAAAGGTATAGCCTCTTCCCTTGTCCTGTGTTACTGATTTGGATGAAATTCCCCAAAACCCATTCAAGTTGGCTTCACATGTAAAACAGATAGCATAGATGGGGCACTATACTTATTTTTCATAAAAGTGCATAGTTTTGTCAAAAAGCAAACTCTAAACACTTTTTTTATATTGTTTTATTAGTTGGAAAATATAAGTAATTATGTTAGTAATGGAGATAATGTTTTGTTCAGGATATACAGCATTTGAATTATTTCAGTCATTTTTTTTGTGTCTTGTATGTCTGAATAAGTAATTAAAATTATTTAATTAGACTACTCCACTGCCATAAATTGGAACTGGGATTTTTTTAATCTAATAGTATATAGAAGTAAAGAATTTGTTTAGATAAATCTGTTCTTCTTTTTAGAGACCCTGATGTGAGCCCCGGTGGTGAAATAATCTTTGGAGGCTCTGATCCCAAGTATTATAAAGGCAATTTCACTTATGTCAATGTTGACAGGAAGGGATATTGGCAGTTTAGAATGGATTCGTAAGTAGTTTTTTTAGTAAGCTTTTCTTTACCAGTACATTAAAAAAATAGAAAAGTTGTTCATGATCATTAAGTTTGTGGATTGCCACTAAGTAATGTCAAAAATGTACTTTAGGGGTGAGCCAGCTTCTCAGTGGAAAGCTAGAGGGCTTATAATGCTACAATTTGGGGTTCAATCCTTGAAATAGGAACAGCACAAATAGCCTGTTATGCAGCTTTGTGCTTAACAGCAAACAAGAGATGCATGTAAAGTTAAACCTAAGCTTATTTCTAAAAACTTAACACAGACATGAAAGTTTAAAAGTTCAGTTTTATTTTCATGTTCCCTTGGTTAATTTAGTCACAGAAATGCAGTAGCTTCAATTAAAGGAAACATATTGGGAATCATAATTAGCAACTTTTAATTTCCTTCACAGTTAACCAAATGTGCATAGGGTTGATCCAATGAACTGATCCCGAATTTTAGAAGGAATGTTAACTGTAATTCTGAATTCTCAACGTGTATCTAAGTGAAATATGGCAATATTAAAATGTACTAGTCTGTTGTGCACAAAAAAAAGTCAGATGTGTTGCAAAATTATTTGTATTTAAGATATGTCTGTGAACTGCCGAGGTCAGTCCGACTTAGACTCTGATAAGCCATAGTGCAAGGTGATGTTCATGTGAAGAATGAAAATATTTTTGTTCATCTTGCATATTGTATTTGCCTAATCTCTAGAACCTTCACTATGCAAATCTGAAGTTTTTTTTCAAGTATCCCTATATATTGTATCTGGTATTTACTCGCTTATACCATGAACTATTGCTAAATCAGCAATGTAGGGTAAAATAAAATTAAATATATATTACCATGTTGAATGACACTCTGTAAAAAGTGTTAGAATGTGCACTTTGACCATCCACCTATGCACATAGGATTAACTCTTTTCATACAGGCATCCTTTTCTGTGCATGTCATGAGGTTTCACTGAGTTGCATTCAAAATTTAAAGTAATTTATTATTGTGGTATATGAATAAATTTAGCACCACAAAATAGCAAGTAATATTATACAAGTTTTAAGTTCTTAATCTTATAAGGAAATATTTTAAAAAATCCTCATATAAGAATTGTGACCTTTTCTCTTTGGGTATCCCCTCTTCCCTAATTTATTTACCACCCCTCCAAGAGTTACAAAATTTAATGTAAGTTACTTATTATAATTTTGTCATTGCTCAGGCAAAGTATAATTTTTATAACCTTCAATTGTCTCTGATTACAGAGCCATAAACTAGAACATCAGACCCCTCTTGCTAAGCCCACTTGTCACATCCTCTCTTTCAGAAATTGCCAATAAGTCTCTCTGACATTTAATACTATATTTCTTATAACCAGTAGAAAGCCAAAGTTTTAACCTATCAAATGATGTATTGCATTATATTGTTTCTGTACAGGGACGTGTCTGTTTTGCTTCCAGTTCAAAGTTTATTCCCATGGGAAACACATCACTGAGCTTAGCAGAATTTGTAAAGGCTTCTGTCACATAGTTAGAAAACCAGAAAAAATTGTGTTAGTTGTAGAACATTGTCTGCTTTTTAGGTGATATTATTCTGTGATCTCTGGTGCATTATTTTCTTTAATTGAAAAAATTATTTAGTGCAGTAGTACCATTAATATATATT